ACGTTTCAGTGCTCGAAAACTTGTGGAGGAGGTGTGAAGAAACGAAAAGTGAGCTGCGAACAAATAATGGCTCAGGGGCGTAAACAAAATCGAAAGGATAGTGAATGTCCGTCTCAAAAGCCCGCCTCGGAGAAGCCTTGCAACACCAGAGCGTGTCACGATATGGATGCAGGTTCCCTGCCTATAATTACCAGTCAAAATACAACGTATAACCAGACAGACATGAACGCGAAGGTAGATTTAAAGATCGGCGGTATTGCGAAGATTTTTCAAGGCACATCCTCTATAAAAATTCGTTGTCCCGTCAGGAAATTTGACAAGTACGTGACCAATTTAACATATGGTTAAACATGTCGAATAAAATCGAAATATTTTCAGAGCACAGATCGCATGGACCAAAGATAATAAAGAATTAAGGAAATCAAGGAAATATAAAATTAGCAGGAAGGGGGCGTTAAAGATAAACGACATAACATCCTCGGATGCTGGTGTTTACGCGTGTATAGGTAAATGGATATATTGATAAAATTTAGAAAATAGTGGATAACATCACGTTTGTATGTTACAGCCGGAAATTCTCATGCGGAGACACAATTGATAGTGAAATTTCGTTCAAAGGAACAGATAAGCAGCGAGGAGTATTTACGATTAAGCAATTCCGTCCATCGACAACGAAATGCAAATTTGGACTCGGCGCCTGCCAATTCAGGCGAAAGTCTCTACACTGATCGAGCAGGTAAGAATTATTTATGTTTGAATAATTTGATTCTTGAATTCTTGATTTCATTTTGTATATCGCATTCTAAAGGTTTTGTGTAATTTAAGTTGATTTTCTAATAGCCGCGTACGGAAACCGTTTTGTTCCCATCGACAGCGAAGATTTAAGTCATGAACGAGCAGTTCCTAGTAATCCGACGAGAAAACCACATCAGAAAAAACAGAAAACAAGTCCAACGCCACCGGATTCTACGATGATGCACAAAGAACATGTTGTAACATCGTTGAATCAGGTAAAAGCATAAAAAAAAAAAAAGACATAAATGAAACTTACTTAAATCTAATTTCTAATTTCAATTTATAACTTATTTAAATCTCATTTCAATTTATAAATAATCGCATGATGAACTGATCTCTCGATGATTCTTTATCTCGATTTCTTCTTCATGCTTTCTATCTGTGTGGATTAACTTTATGTGGTGGTGGTTCTTTTTCGTCTAACATATCAGCCAGGGTACCACGAATCCGTGGAATCGACTGCACCCTCGAGATCAAGTGCCTCTGCTCTTATACCGCACTTAACTTATTTTATATCAACATTAAAGGTGAGATGACGTAGATAGTAAAACTAAAAAATAAGATTAATATTTCCAACTTGATCATTCGTACTTTTATTTTTTAAAATACATCTATTTACATATATGTTTTATATATATATAGTTATATTATACATTATACAATTTGTGATAAATTTTCTAATAGGAATATTGGCCATTCCAAAGTGATAGTTCTGCGGGAAGATCTCACAGGACAGCCCCAGTGACATACATCGATGATGCAAAGAAAGAAGCGACAAACTTTGCGACAAAACGTACAATGCCCGACAAAAATTCCGATTTGAGATACCAAAATATAAAAGATAATTTGGACACGTTATATAGAAACACCGCGATTCCTGATGAAACTTTTGGGCCGGATGAAGAAAGGATATTCATCGACGTTGATCCATATGATTTAGACGAATCCATATTTGGATTACAACACAGTGATCCGGCGAAAATCACTCCTGTTGTGACTAAAGATAATTTAGTCACGCCTGCGAAATCTGATATAGATTATGTTGAAGAATCTTTGAAAAATGTCAAAAGACAATGGCACGATAAAACAGATGTTAAAAATCATTGGAGTTCCACGCCTAAAAATCAAAATAAAGACAATAAAGACGAATCTATAAATCTGGCAACCAGTTCGGAGAATATTGGTTTGGAGATGTATTATGTTCCAGATTCAAATATCAAACATAATATAGAGAAATTTGAAGAATCTCACGATACAAATCAATCTGATCGAAAAAATTATGATAATTTTGAAAGCGTACACGCTTCTTCTACGATGTCGCTTAGAGAAACGGATATAATTTCGAAAAAACCGGATATTGATGACGAAGAAATGAAAGTTTTAAATAAAACGGAAGGATATGGATATATTTTTGAGGAAGAAATGAAGAAACGAAAAGTTTATGTTGGAAATGACACGGATAAAGATAGTATTATTCGAGAAGCGACGACCAGAGATTTGGAAGATGATTTGATCGATTTGGCGCGAATGGAAGATCGAGAACCCGTAAAAATTGAAAAAAATATAAAGAATTTGTCGCGAAATCGAGAAGATCATAACAATTCGTCCGAAGATGTGAATAATGAAGAAATACAAAAAACTAATAAATCTTTGGATATCGCGACTATCGCTTTTGTTGAACCAAATATTACCACCGATTCTACGATTGCATCTCTTAGTGTCTTAGGTAAATAAAATTTATTTCTTTAATATGATAAAATAATACAACATTATATTGTGTTTTCTCAAATAAATAAAATCTAGATACTACGGAAGATCTAGTTTTCGAATGGATAACGACAGATTGGTCAAAGTGTTCCCAAACATGTGGAGGAAGTGGATTTCAAGTAATTTAAAAAATAATTTTAATCAAAAAATAAATAACTGTAAAATATTAAATTTCAATATCTCTTTGTACCAAGATGCGAGGAGCCCAGTGTACAGTTCGTGCAGCAAAACCGATTGGGAACACAACTCGTACACCACCACGAACAGTTATAGGAGCGACATTGTGTGAAGATGCTGGACATTCGGTACCTCAAAAAGTCAGACCTTGTGGATTTGGTAAATGTCCTCAATGGCACACAACCGAATGGACTTTGTGTGAAACATCCAGATGTTTTAATTGGAAAACTGCAATGCAAAGACGTGACGTAACTTGTCGCTTGATTGAGGATATAGAAAATGGACAACAAAATATTACATTACTTGATCCTAATAAATGTGATGACACTATAAGGCCTCTTCAAAGGCAAGAATGTTATAATGACGCCTGCAAGGGTGTTTGGAGAGTTGGAGAATGGTCAGAAGTATGAATCATTATATCATTAAAATCTTTGTTGTTTGATTTTTTTTTTTTTTTTTAGCTAAATATGAATATAAAATTTTTAAAAAACAATTATTTGACTGTTTATTCGTAGTGTACAGCATCATGCGAAGAAGACGGTATCAAATATAGAATTTTACAATGTGTTTGGTATGGTACCAAAAAACCAGCTGGTAATGCGTGCAGAGATATTCCACGACCTCCGGTCATGAAGACATGTAGAGGTCCACCATGTCCTCAAACACCTGGTAATATATAACTATATTTAAAATTTTAAATTGAGCTATGAATGTAATTGAAATTTTATAATAATAAATTTAAATATGATTGCTATTTTTTCAGATGAATGCAAAGATCATTCACAACTCTGTAGCAGAGTGAAAACAATGAATATGTGCAGGGTGCCTCTTTATCAGAAGCAATGCTGCCAATCATGTCATTAGACCCAAATAATCGATAGCAATTATTGATATCGAAAAGAAATGTTCTAGATAAAAATTGATAATGAGAGGTGCGCGCGAGAAGAATGTCACAATGGAGACAACAAGACAAAGATTATCTTCGCGAACGTTTACTAAAACGTTTCGTGTAATTTATTGTTGCTTGCTTGTTGAAAGAATGTAAGAATAAAAGATTACATATGAATCTACGAACATATGCAGCTACAAAATATGTAAGAAATATTGAAGAAATAGTATCGACCAAATTACTTCCGCTGGTGATTGTTCCATCCTTTTTCCATACCCTTAAAGTCTGAACGTCAAATTGCACCTGTTAAAAATCTAATTCCTAATTGTATACTAAATCTATAATTTGCGGACATGTATCATGTGTAGTTGGACACGATTCTTAATTGCGCACGCTCAATTCTCTAAGAAGAACTAGAAAATCTTGGCATTCATCAAAATTAATATTAAAAAATTATATTGTTGAAATTAAATAAAAAAAGAAATATTATAAAATAATCATATTCCTGAAAGGAACTAGTGCGACGTTTTTTATCGTGAATAATACGTCGTCAAAATTAGTCTAACGTTGGTTTTACGAAAGACGAGCTTTATAAGCTGTTCAAATTTTAGATAAAATGTTACATATGGGTAGGAGGGGTGAACGGAACACTAATCTTAATCGCACTAAAAGATAGCACAAAAATTGATTCTTCGAAACTTTATTTTTTTACATGTATTTCTTGAATGACACACGATCAATCGGTTCACGAAAATGCGCGCGGTTCTCGTCATCATCATTTTTATCGAAGACTGAAAAATGCTATATATTTCTTCTGTATAAGTTCATAAAATTCACCATTCCCATCGGGCGTTAGCGAGAATCGAGGAATTCATTTTCATTATTTAATCCAAAGAATCTTTACACACATTCCGCTGTACCCTTCCAGATAAAGAGGTGTATTACACGCATCTTGTTATGTTTTTATTGGATTATATTTATTATAACGTTATATCTATTTAGGTTCGATGATACACGATATAAATTATTAAATGAAAAATATTAAGTTGATGAATAATGAAATATAAAAGTTACTAACAATATAAGTTAAACAATTTAATATTATGCGCCTATAAGCGCCTCCTGAGGCGTACGTAAGCCAATAGATTCTAAGCAATAAAATATATAGGTATTGTAATATACTATTTTGTTAATAACCTCTGGCGAAAATTCGTTAACATGACGTTCCATTATTATACAAAAATGGCTCAAAAAATTTTATTTATGTACTTCTGATCATATGATTAAAATTTTTGTTTTTTTTTTTATATTTTAAATTATTTTAAATTACATTAACTACAATAATTTAATTTTTGTAATATTTTTAATTTCTTTTATTTATTATATATATATAAATTTTTGATGAAAATATTATCTAATTTCTTAATTATAATATATATAATATTTCATGTAACTCTATTAACTCTATTTTTTTATTCTGATATTGTGAACAAATTTTCGCTATCAACGAATTTGCCTCAACACAGCTAGACAGTTTGCCAAAACGAACTGATATTAATGAAATGAAAAAAAGATATAAATAAATTAGTATATTATTAAAATTGAAATAAAAAAAATTATATATTTGGGTGTGTGTATAATGTATAATATATATAATATATATTATATATTATATATAATATATATTATATATTATATATAATATATATATATATATGTATATTACAAGTTGCGTAAGTAATAAAAACACACGCGAATGATTTCATCTTAAACGCAGGTATAAATCTATTATGCAAGATCGAAATATATTGTCTTACAGTACATTTATAAATAAATTCTGTACGATATATTATATTATTACCGATATATTTCGATATATTTCATTTAATTTATCGAGTTGGAGTTAACAGTAATTACTATTTCACTCAAGTAATCATAAGAAATATGTTTCTTTAAAATCTTTTAGCAATAATACATAATTTCCCATGAATTGATTTTTATTAATACCTGCATTTTTGTATATACCACCATCTAATTATGTAAAATGATTCCATATTATTATACAAAGAGCATTATTATTCATTATATCTATGTAAATATGTAACTGCCTAAATACGAATAAAACCAGAGGATATATCGCTGCACATTATCTTAATTTATTTCTTAAATTCAATTTAGTTAAAATATAAATTTATGTATTTATTGCTTCTGTTGATAACAGATTTCAAATAATATAATAATTGATTGGAACATTGAGACTGAATTATACAATACTGAATGTACAATAAATTATACAGCATATGAAAAATTGAATAAATAAAAAAATTTAGTTTATCAATCCCCAATTTCGAAGAACATCATCTTGAGCAAGAGGCCAAAGCTTCTTTAATAACGACCATCCTTTTTGTGTAGTAAGCAAATATTCATTTTGTGGATCATGAAGATAGGAATAAGCACCCATAATCAAACTTTGACAAATTCTTGCACAAACACTAATTTTCAAAATTTTCTTCTCAAGATCTGTCAGCTTTCTAATATCCTGATAACCTTCGATTACATATTTACCCATCGCTATATCACCAGTCTGTAAAATCATATAGCATAGCGCGATAGCTAATTCAAAGATTAAGCATGTTCGATGTGCATCACCAAAATCGATGACTGCAAATATTTCTTTGCCATTCGAGTTTATCACTAGATTTTGTTCATTTAAATCTCCATGTATCATGCCTTGTTCTAACTGTGAAGTGATTTGAAGCACGTCCTTTTCGAAAGCTATTATTACCTCATGCGCTAACTCTCTTTCAAATACATTTTTTATAGCATAGATAAATTGGTGTAATTGTGGTACGGAATTTAACATCCATAGTGTTTTGTGATGATTATAAGCTGGATGGGAAAAAGTCATTAGAATATTATCAAGTCGGGCTATAAAATTGCCTATATTTCGTAGCAAATCTCCAGTAATTGGTACACGGTGTAACAATTCACCAGATCGATAAATCAACAATCTGATAGCATAACTTTCAGAATATTCATTATTCATTTTAACTAGAGTGTAATACAATCCATGTATATTTTTTACAGGCAAAGGACAATTAATACCTTGCTGATGCAAAAATATTAACATTTCAGTTTGTGCTTCAATCACGTGTGTTTTCTGCGAATCCAAAGAATTAACGATCTTCAAAACATAGCCATATTTACTTATGATCGTTATATGAGGATTCATATGAGTTTCTTCACAAATTACATGATAATTTCTGTCATCATATGCATTTAATTCAGATATACTTAAAGTTTTCAAACCATAAAGTTCTTCTAAAAGTTGTAAAACTTTTTGTTTGTTGCCAGGTGGACGAATCCGTTGACCCGGTATTAACATATTATCTTTGTTCTTCATATCCATTTTATTTCTAAAAATTTTTTAAAATAAAATATATGTATTAAAATTCTTAAATTTTATCAATTAATTACAAAATAAAAGATAAATTTAAAATAAAAATATTACAAATTTTTTATAAAATAATTTCGAAATTATAAACAATAATAAATTTTAAATTTTGTATTATTAATTTTAAAACACAAATTACTTACCTATTTTAAAAAAAATTTTTCTTAATACGTCTTTTCTTAATTAATCTATTAAGTTACAAATATAAATTTGAAAAAAAAAATAATTACAATTTTATTTTTTATATATAAATATAAAATTATTATTTAGAATATAGAATTATTATAAAAATATTAATTTCAAATAAAAAAAATTCAAAAATACTGTAAATTCACGATATGTTCACGAATGAAGCAGTTCAGAAAATGAATTGTAGGACAAGATACGCAATATACAGTTGACTCTCAATTAATTCTACGATAGGGCACGAATGCACGATGATTGATATTTATTGCTCGTTGTTACTCGTGATTTAATACAAACGCTTAAAGTATCTTTAATAATATACATATTCTGATACTAAGACAATAAGCAATCTCTTATCACAATGATAAGAATAATAATTATTCATTATCATTCTTGTCCCACATATTAATAACATGTCAAATAAAACTTTAATAAATTCTATATTTTCAATTTTTAAAAAATTAAATTATAAGCCAATACAATTTTTAATCATAATTAATATTCAATAAAATTATTTGATTTATGTTAATTTATATTTGTTTTTTCAAACTAGATATATATTATAATTCTTTATTGATGAAAATAATTTTCAATAATCATAATTCAATAATTTTCAATAAATTTCATTCAAAATAGTTTCGAAAAAAATTTGAATTTGAAATATCCGCTCTATACTTTTCGAGATATTAATTTTATTTATTATAATTATAATTATAATTATGTACATATTATATTATGTACATATATATGTACATTATATGTACATATGTATATATATATATATGTTATATATATATATATATATATATATATATATATTAATTCAATAATTACTCTCGATTCAAAAATATAAATTTAAGAATAAAAAAAGAATCCTACATTTTAATTAATAATTCATGTAATGAATATCTTACCATATAGTTTCTACATTATAAAAATAAATTAAAAGTATATTACTTTTAAATTTAAATAATTACTTTTAAAAATAAAAATTAAAATATTACATATTATAAGTAAAAATGTACAAAAGAAACTGAACGATTTTTCTATTAAAACATATTGCATTAACTATTTAATATTAAAGAAAGCATATATAGAAACGTAAATCTACATTTATAACCAATAAAATTGGACAATAATATTTTGTGAAATATAACTGTAGTATGCAATCTATGCATTATTATTTCGTGGTATAATTATGCGGGAATACATTGAATGAATATTTGATATATATATAGTATTTTGAAAAGATAATTTTTGAAATATTTTTGTAAAATTGTACAATACATTGTAAAATTGTACAATTTTATAATTATTTAGGATTATTTTTTACTTAACGTATAAATATTAGTACTTTTTCTTATATAAAATCATGGCTGTCCAACCAAATCAACAATTTAATATGGGTCAGTAAAATATAATATAATTTTAGAAATTAAGTTTTTATTTTATATATTTAGATTTTGTTAAATAATTTTATGTAATATTGATTCCAGACACATCAAGTCAACAAAGTTTTGTTAGGTTTTTTAAAAGTTTACCAGAAGTAAGTAAATATGATTAATTGTATATATATTATTGTTGATTTTTTTTATTATGATCTTTTTTATATTTATGATTATGTAATATTTAGTATAAAGAATAAAAAATAAAAATTAAAAAATATAAATTCATTTATTTAAATAACAATTAAAATATATAATAACTATATAATAATAGAATTTTATAATACTACATTAAAATCCTAAATATATTAAAATATATTAAATTAGTACCACATATTAAATATTAAACAATCTCAATGATCTTGATAAAGATCTGATAAATTTTATTTAAAATCTATATTGTGAAAAATATATTACTTATAAATAGATATCTATTTTAAAAATTTGTTTTTAAAAATTTATATTTATCCAAAAATATTTCTAGCCTTTTCTTTAGCTTTGTCTATTGTAGTTGCTATTTTATGACTAATTCTTGACCAAATGGATGATGAATGAGGTGCTTCAGTAGTAATATTTGTGTCTAATGGTTCTACAGATAATAATGGTGGCATTAGTTCAGTTGTTGTTAATATTTCTGGTTTTTCTCTAATATCCCATGGATCTGTATTGCTTATAGATGCTAATGTAGCACTAGGATTTATTGTCACTTCTGAATATATATCATCGCTATGTGTTGGATCATATTGCCCACCTCCATAAACTTCTAAGATTCTTGGCTGTAATTTAGGTTCTTTAAAAATTCCAGCATCTGCCTGTAAATTTCCTTTTATTTGTTCATTAGATATAAATTTATTTTCATTTTGAACATAATCATTTCTTAAAGATTTATCTTTTTGTTTAGATATATAATTTTGAGATTGCCAATCTGATTGTTGATGTGAATTATCCATTATGTATTTATTTTGTGGTTCTTTATTTAAATTTTGTTCTAAATTAAAAAATTGTGATTGCATTGATTGTTGCAAATTTTCTTTATCTTTTTGTTCTGTTTGTTGTACAAATTGTCTTTGGTCACTTGGATGATATGTATAATGCCATTGTAAACCTACAGTTGCATCATTTGATTTGTGTAACCAATTTACTTGGTCTACATTACTTCCTTCAATATCATATAAATTACTTCCACTATGTTGATTTAAATTTTTAGACAAATCTATATTTTCATTTTCTTCTTGATTTGTTGTTGTATTTTGATTTCCTTTATTATCATCAGCTTCTACATCCATGTTTGGAGGTAATTCATAAATATGTGATGCATCAATATTTCCATTATTGTGATTCATAATATCTTCATCATTGATATTATGTACATTATGATGTGATCCATATCTTGAATATCTTGATCTTGGTTTGGGTTTATCTGCAGGTTTTGGAAAATGTGAATCATTTCCCAAATATTCTGGTATAATACTTATTTGCAGAGATGAATCTTTTTCTGATTCTTGATTAAATTCAAGTTTATCAGTACTTTGTTTAGTAAAATCATCAATCTGCTCTGTAAAATCCAAATTAGTATTATTTGGTTTCCATGGTTGATAAGTTTGTTGTGATATTTGCTCAAATTCAAATTTCCCAGAAGTTTGTTGAATAAGATCTTCAGATCCATTTTTTTGAGTAAGATGAACTAACTGTTGATCTGCATTACTTGATTCCCATGGTTGATGTGTTTGTTGTAAATCTTGACCAAATTCAAATTTGTCAGAGATTTGTTGAGTAAGATTCTCAGATTCACTTGTTTGCTCAATAAGATCATCAAATTTTTTATTGGCATTATTTTGTTTCCATGGTTGATATATTTGTTGTGAATCTTGACCAAATTCAAGTTTTCCAGATATTTGTTCAGTAAGATTCTCAGATCCATCTTTTTGCTGCGTAAGATGAGTTAATTGTTGATCAGCATTATTTGTTTTCCAAGATTGATAAGATTGTTGTAATTTTTGATCAAGATTTTTAGAGACATATTGACTAAGATCATCAAAATTACCTATTTGTTGAGTATAATCTTCTTTATTATTATTATTATCACTATTTTGTTTCCAAGATTGATAGGATTGTTGTGAATCTTTACCAAATTCAAGCTTTCCAGAAGTTTGTTGTGTAAAATCATCAATTTCACTTGATTGTTGGAAAAAATCATTTAATTGTTGATTAGCATTATTGGATTTTCCAGATTGTTGCGAATCTTTATCAAATTTAATCTTTCCAAAAGTTTGTTGTGTAAGATCATCAGATCCACTTATTTGCCAATCAAAATTATTTAATTGTTGATTAACATTACTAGGTTTCCAAGATTGATAAGATTGTTGTGAATCTTGATCAAATTCAATCTTTCCAGAAATTTGTTGAGTAAAATCCTCAGATCCACTTGTTTGCTGATTAAAATCATTAAATTGTTGATTGGCATTATTTGGTTTCCATAATTGAGATATTTGTTGTGAATCTTGACCAAATTCAAGTTTTCCAGATATTTGTTCAGTAAGATTCTCAGATCCATCTTTTTGCTGGGTAAGATGAGTTAATTGTTGATCAGCATTATTTGTTTTCCAAGATTGATAAGATTGTTGTAATTTTTGATCAAGATTTTTAGAGACATATTGACTAAGATCACCAAAATTACCTATTTGCTGAGTATAATCTTCTTTATTATTATTATTATCACTATTTTGTTTCCAAGATTGATAAGATTGTTGTGAATCTTTACCAAATTCAAGCTTTCCAGAAGTTTGTTGAGTAAAATCCTCAGATCCATTTGTTTGCTGATTAAAATCATTAAATTGTTGATTGGCATTATTTGGTTTCCATAATTGAGATATTTGTTGTGAATCTTGACCAAATTCAAACTTTCCAGAAGTTTGTTGAATGATGTCATCAGTTTCAGTTGTTTGCTGGGTAAAATCATTTAATTGTTGATTTGATTTCCATGGTTGATAAGATTGTTGTAATTCTTGGTTTAAATCATTATTTCTTGAGTTCTGTTGTGTAAAATCATCATTTTGTGTATCAGTTTGTTGATTAAAATCATCTATAACATGTTTATTTACTATTTGTTGCACTTCATCTTCTTTGTTATGCATTACATTGCGCTTATATTTTTTTAAATATTGTGAACTGCCATGTGAATGTTGTGAATTATATGCACAATCTATAGTATCTCCTATTTCACTTAAATCACTTGCACTAGTCATTAATTTTTGTGACATTATGTTTCTATCACTATTGAAATCATTTTCTCTAAATTGATTTAAATTACTATCATATCGTATATCTTGATTTAAATTATATTTGTTGTTATATTGATCATTATTGTATTGAAAATGTTCTTTGTTGTTATGTAAAATATCTGTAGAATATAGAGGAATAGATGCTTGTTTTGTATGACCAGAACTCCAGTGTTCTTTATAATGAGATACTTGTTTTGGTATATTTGAATGAATTATGCTGCTTTGACTCTGCGCATTATTTCTTAAATTGTCGACTAACATTTGATTCTGAACAAATCTTGATTGATGTGCATCTAAAATATCTGTTTGTTGTAAATTATCTGTATGTTGTAAATTATCTGTATGTTGTAAATTATCTGTATGTTGTAAAATTGATCCACTAAATTTATTTCTATTGTAATTATTATTTCCAATATTGACTGTACTAGTATATCCTGATGTAGGATTAATAAGTTGATTAATTGGTTGAAGCTTCTTTACATATCCTTCATGTTTTTCATACATACTGTAACTATTTTCACCATAAGTATTTTGGTAAGGATTCCTGTAAGGTAAATGTTCATTTGTTATGTCTGAAGATTGTTGTTCTTCATTATGATGTGTTCTTGAACTTCTATAGTTATATTGATCTCTATAATTATCACTATTTTTATTATAAATATTATCAGTAGGCAAGTCATGAATATTAAAATGTGTTTGTCCAATATTAGTGGATCCTGTGGTTTGTGTAGAAATTTGATCAAATCCTTTTCCAATTTCTTTATGAAATTTTTCTATCTTTGTTTGTACATCTTGCATTCCATTTTTAGTAAAATCAGGAATAGGCATTCCATCAGATGAACTGTAATTAGAAGTATAATTTCTTTTATAATAACGAATTTTTTTAGCTCCTGATACATATTGACCTTTTTCTTCAAATACACGACCATGTCCTCCATCAGTTTTATATGAATCTATTGTACTCCAATTTCCAGACTGCATATTAATATGATAAGGTTCTTGTGAAATTTGTGTATTTAGATTAGATATATCTTGTTGATTAATCTGTGAATTTTTACTATATTCTCCAAGATTTTCAAGTCTTTCATTTTGAACATTAGTTTTTCTATGTGATGATTCAACATGTGGTTGATTCTTTATTGTATTATATTTATTTTGCTGTATAATTGATTCTGAATTACTCATTTGATTATAAGTATGTTGATTAACTATGTCTTCTGTATTGGATATATGTTTGTTATTATTTTGATTAAAATTTGATATTTTCTCACCAACAGGATACCATGTATCATAAGAAGAATAATTTTTCTTATAATATCTTACTGTCTTAGGACCTTCGACATATTGGCCTCGTTCTTCATGTACTTTTCCATGTCCATTATCTACATTATAGTCTTTATGTTCAGACCATGTTCCAGGTTTTGAATAATCAAGACTTTGTAAATATGAAGCAGTTTGTGATAAATCAGCATGTTTTTGAAAACTTCCAGAAGTTTGATATTGTGTCAGATAAGAAGTACAAGATTCTATGCATCCACTTGGTGCACATAATGTATGTGTTATTAATAAAAATAAAATGGCAATATTTTGTATTACCATGTTAATCATTTGATCTCTGTAAATATTAAATAAAAAGTTTAATTATTTTTTAAAAACTAAATAAAAACTACATAATCTAAAAAACTACATAAATCAATTTTGAAATTATCATAAGATATATTTCATATTCTACATTTTATTTGTCAAAAAAAAAAATAATTACAATTGAAATATTATATTAAAATTAAATAAAATAAAATTAAAAGTTTAATTACCGTATGGTAAAAGATCAAAATTCACTTAATTCAGAGCTTAGAATTGATGATCTCACTCAATGACAGTATGTATTGATATACTACATGCAAGTTGGAGCAATTCCATTTATGTTAGTTCCCCCTTCTTCATCATATCTTTGAAAACATTCTCTTTCATTCTTATGATGATAATATTTTCTGTGCATTTATTCCAGTTCATATATATTCTTATCTCTTTTAATAATTCACAAACTATTAATATCTTTAAACTGAAAAATATTTGTAATTTAATTTTGTAATATTATTTGTAATATATTATTATTAAAAAATCTATTTAATTAAATAATTTAATTAAATATTATTAAAAACATTTAATTATTTATATATTATGTACATTTAAATTAAACATTTAATATAATTTTTTTTAATATTTTAATTATGATTTATTATATTTATTATATTAATAATTTATAAGATATAAAAAAATTTATAAGATAAATAAATATTTCATGAAATAAATTCTTAGAATTATTAAGAAAAAAATTATTATATATGAAACATATGTATGTAATATATTATTTTTTTACATTTTTCTTGTAAATGTGTAAAAATAACTTTTCTATTTCTTAGTAATAATTATATAGATAATTTCCAGAAATTGTTTTGTTAATTTGATGTGTCATCAATGATATCATTCTCGTATAATATTCTTGTTATAATAGATTAATTTATTGTTATTTCACAATAGCTATAAATATAATTTCAGGTAATTAAAGATAATCATTCAAATGATCATTGAACACATCAATAAATCTAATGCACATATATCTTTTATTCTAAAAAAAAATATTTTTAAATGAAAAAACATTGTTTAATAGAATTATATTTCAATTTATTTTATATTTATTATTATTTTTATTTTATATTTATTATATATATAATATAATATTATATTAATATAAATAATATAATATATTATTATATATTTTATATATATATTCATGTAAAAATATATATAATAAAATATTATTTAAGCAATTAAATTATAATAAATTAAAATAATTCATGATGTTTTTAATGCCTTACATGTGATATTGATCTTTTTGGAATAAACTGTGATATTTTTTATGACACAAAAAATGAATAATATTTGCAAGATAATATTATTATTGGAATTTTTGCATTTTTTTCTTTTAATAAATTATTTTTTAATTGTAATTATATTAATATATTTTTATATAATTGATATATAATTTAATAAGTATTAAATTAATTTATAATTCTTACTACTCTTCAAATATTTTTAATTTCAAATATTAAAATATATCAAAAAATAAATAAATTTAATTGTATTTAATTATCTTTTTTATCATATTAGATGATTTTAAATTGATATATTTTTCCATAATATAACAAATTTCCTTGAACTCATACATATAACATTAATAATAATCCATGACTTTTTGACCCTAGATAGACATTGACCTACAGATATTCTTCATAAAGTCTTTCTTGAAAACAAGTATAATCATAATTAAATATAATAATTATAATTTGGAAATAATTATACTTTTTGTATTAAATTTTTAAATAATTTGTAAAAAATTATTTTTAAATTTTTTCTTTTAAATTAATGAAAATATTAAAATTTTTTTACTTATGTAGAAATAACATTACTTTTAATACTAAAATATCATTTAATTATGTATACATATAATAATATAATATAAAATTTTAATATTTATAAGTTTAAAAATATATATTATTTATAAAAAAAATACATAATTACAAAACACATATATAATTTAATAATAATATGATTTCAGAAACTGAATACCACAGTACGTTTTTTTAATAGGTCAGATTATTATACATTACATGGTAATGATGCATTATTTGCTGCACAAGAAATTTTTAAAACTACATCCGTTTGTAAAATTATAGGTGCAGGTAAGAATTTTAATTTAAAATTTTAATATTTATAATTTAATAAAAATATAATAAGTTTTTAAAATTTTAATATTTAAAACAGATCCATATAAAACTGAAGGAGTTATTCTTAACAAAAATCATTTTGAATCTTTTATACGTGATCTATTATTAGTAAAACAATACAGAGTAGAAGTTTATATTAATCAAGGAACTGCAAAAAATCAAAATTGGATATTAGAATATAAAGGATCTCCTGGTAATTTAACACAGTTTGAGGATATATTGTTTGGCAATAATGATATTGCTGTTAGTGTTCGTGTTATAGCAGTGAAATTAGGAATGGAAGGAAAATTTAGAGTGAGTAATTATAAAACACATTATGATAAAAAAAATTTTTGCTAAAAAATTTTTATTTTACTATATTTTACAATATTTTTAGATTGTAGGTTTAAGCTGTGTAGATACTACAGCAACTTTATTTTCTGTTTGTGAATTTCAAGACAATGAATCATTTTCTAATTTGGAATCATTGATTGTTACGCTTGCTCCTAAAGAATGTTTATTAATTCAAGGCGAAGGCAGCTATGAATTTCAAACTTTAAAACAAGTAAACAAGATAAATAAAAATATTTTTTTTATACAGAATAATTAATTTAAAAATTTTATTGATATAATCATGACATTTATTTCTTTCTTTCATCTTCTTTTTCTTACTTAGTTAATAGAAAGAAATAATGTGATGATTACTACAAGAAAAAAAAATGAATTCTCTAGTGAATCAGTTATACAAGATTTAAATACTTTAATAAGATTCAAGAAAGGTCAACAACAAAATGTACAATCTTTACCTGAAGTTAATTTAACTTTTGCTATGTCAGCTACTTCTGCTCTTATTAAATATTTAGATGTAAGTATTGCATACTGATAAAAAAAATATTGTTCTTCAATTTAATTTTATACTTATATGTTTTTTCATTAGTTAACATCAGATGAAGGAAATTTAAATCAATTTAGTATAGATCAAATAAAGCAATCACGTTATTTAAAGTTAGATTCAGCTGCTATAAAAGCACTTAATATTGAACCACGTATTGATACTTCTTCTGTTTTAAATGGAAATGCACCTACAAGTATTTTGAATCTCTTAGATAAATGTAGAACTCCACAAGGACATAGACTCCTTGCACAATGGATTAGACAACCTTTAAAAGATTTATCACTTATAAAAGAAAGACATGATATTGTTGAAGCATTAGTGAATGATAATGAATTACGATCTAATCTTAATGAAGATCATTTAAGACGCATACCAGATTTACAAGTACTTGCAAAAAAATTGGCTAGAAAAAAAGCAACTTTACAGGATTGCTATAAGTAAATAAATTATATATTTTTTAATATTTTTATATATAATTAATAATTTATTAATCGTTTTTATTTCAGGATTTATGCATGTATATCACATTTACCTATATTATTAGAACAATTTCTTAAAATAAATATAATAGCTTTAAAAACAATGTTTACTGATCCTTTAAGTGAATTTATTAAAGATATGAATAAATTTCAACAAATGGTTGAACAAACAATTGATTTAGATTCTGCTGAAAAAGGAGATTTTTTAGTACGACCTGAATTTGATGATGAATTAAAGGGTACTCATAAAATCTTTTAAATGAATATATATTATATATATATATATATATATATATTTATGTATATTATGTATTAAATTTTTTTTACATTAATTTATATTTACTAATTATATCCATTAATATTAGAATTAAAATGTACTATGGATGAAATAGAAATAAAATTGCAAGCACAATTGAATAAAGTTGCTGATGATCTTTCAATCGAAGCTGGAAAAATATTAAAACTAGAATCAAATCAACAATTTGGATATTATTTCCGTGTAACATTGAAGGAAGAAAAGGTATTAAGAAATAAAAAACAATATATTATTTTAGATTCTAATAAAAGTGGTGTACGATTTCGAAGTAATAAATTAAATGATTTAAATGATGAATATATTGCTATTAGAGATAAATATATAATGGAACAAAAAAAGGTTGTTGCGGAAATAATTGAAATTGCAGGTTTGTATAAATACATAAAATATTTAAATATTTAATATTATTATTAAAATATTAAGTAAAGAAGCAATATAATTATAGCATTTTTATTATTATATTATAAAAATTATATAGCTGGTTATAGTAATACAATAAAAGCTATTGGAAATGTATTAGCATCACTTGATGTACTTACTGCTTTTGCTTCTGCTGCTATATGTGCTAATAAACCATATGTGCGTCCTGAAATGCTCCCTAGTGAAGAAGGAGAATTTAATCTTATTCAAGTTCGACATCCATGTTTAGAAGTTCAAGAAGGAGTAGATTATATAGCTAATAATATCAATTTTAAAAGAGGTAATATTTTTATAAATATAAAATATAATAATTATTTTTATAATAAATTATATTAGAGAAGAAAAAAATTAAAATTATAGGAGAATGTCATTTTTGTATCATTACCGGTCCAAATATGGGAGGTAAAAGCACATATATAAGATCTGCTGGTGTCAGTGCTCTCATGGCACATATTGGAAGTTTTGTTCCTTGTGATCAAGCAAGAATATCATTATTAGACTGTATATTAGCTCGTGTAGGAGCTGATGATTGTCAATTGAAAGGACTTTCTACATTTATGATGGAAATGATAGAAACTGCTGCTATATTAAAGGTAAATTAATAATATTTATAGCATAAAATAATAATTAAAAAATATTTTATACAATTTCAGACAGCAACATGCAATTCATTGGTATTAATTGATGAATTAGGCAGAGGAACTTCTACTTATGAAGGTTGCGGTATAGCATGGTCAATCGCCGAGTAAGATTTAAAACATCTTTTGAATTTATTAAATTTCTTATATATTTAATATAATTTTTTATAGATATTTAGCAAAAGAAATTAAATGTTATTGTCTTTTTGCAACACATTTTCATGAAATAACTAAATTAGAAGAAGAAATATCTACTGTTAAAAATCAACACGTTACAGCTCTTGTAGATGATAATAAATTAACTTTACTATATAAAATAAAACCAGGAATATGTGATCAAAGTTTTGGCATACATGTTGCTAAAATGGCTAATTTCCCACAAGATGTTATTGAGGT